ACTGCACCATGGGAATGCCCCCACTGCACCATGGGAATGCCCCCACTGCACCATGGGAATGCCTCCACTGCACCATGGGAATGCCTCCACTGCACCATGGGAATGCCCCCACTGCACCATGGGAATGCCCCCACTGCACCATGGGAATGCCCCCACTGCACCATGGGAATGCCCCCACTGCACCATGGGAATGCCCCCACTGCACCAAGGGAATACCCCCACTGCACCAAGGGAATACACCCACTGCACCATGGGAATACCTCCACTGCACCATGGGAATGCCCCCACTGCACCATGGGAATGCCCCCACTGCACCAAGGGAATACCCCCACTGCACCATGGGAATACCCCCACTGCACCATGGGAATACCTCCACTGCACCATGGGAATGCCCCCACTGCACCATGGGAATGCCTCCACTGCACCATGGGAATGCCTCCATTGCACCATGGGAATGCCTCCACTGCACCATGGGAATGCCTCCACTGCACCATGGGAATGCCTCCACTGCACCATGGGAATGCCTCCACTGCAGCATGGGAATACTCCCACTGCACCATGGGAATCCCTCCACTGCACCATGGGAATCCCTCCACTGCACCATGGGAATCCCTCCACTGCACCATGGGAATATCCCCACTGCACCAAGGGAATACAATCGACAGCCTGATTAATTTTGGGTTAAAATCTGTTCATATTAATTCTCTAATTACCATAATAATTAATATTTTTTGTTTCTAATCACATTTCAATGAAATTGGTACATTGTGCAGACCTTATTAGTTTTACACTTAAATCTATTCATATTAGTTACCTTATTTGCATAATTAGTTTTCTGCGTTTCCATCAATATCTCAAATTCAAGTAATTTTGAATTAATTTTTAATGTGTCTCCAATACTCTCAGCACACGGGAGTTCTATCTAAGCTTTCTTTGATTAAGCCATGTTCTTCCTCTTCTTCTCAGTGAATTCTCATATCAGGATACAATGTACGTACTGTAGGCGGTTTTCATTGCCCTGTAGTGATGTTACGGGTTGTAAGTTTGTTTGTTTCGATGAGTAAAGGTGTAAAAGCTATCAATACATGTTGTGTAATCTAATCAGAGATGTAATACTGTAATCGTTTTCAAGGTCATCCTAATAAATGCTTTTTTAATCCGGAAAAAGGATGTAATCCTAGAAATTATTTTGCAAGACATGCTTATGGGTACTGTTTCAAGTTGTATCCTGTTTTAGCTTTCTTGACACACTACATGTTTCAATGGGTGAGACTAATTGTTGAATACTTGATGTAGATCAGTCTAGACAACCTAGATGGAAATAAAAGATGCATATATCAGTACTGTAATACATTTTAAAGCAGTACCATAACGTTTTTGCAAATATCTCTCTTAAAAAATGCAAGCAATCATTGAAATGTTATCATGCACCTTGAAATAGTGAAATTACAGAGATACATGTAGTTAAATTAAATTTGTAACTGAAATAAAATGCTAGGTACAGTAAATTTCATGAAGACATGAATGTTTTTTTATGGAAGTTTATAAATTATTTGGAAGAGACCCTCTTTCTTCATTGAAATTCCAAAGATGTTTCTTTCATTGCCTGTAGAATTTGTTTGGTAACTCCCATTACCTATGAGTTCCCTTCAAACATTGGTAGATTGCATCTATATATTTGTCAAATACAGCTTTTGTTTAGTTATTTTTGTTACTGGGTTTCAACAATTTTAAATGTCTGAGTTTTTTTGTTTGTATTAACTTAGAATTTCAGTAATTAGAATTCTAATTAAGTTTCTCAATAACTAAGTACATTTTATCTTTGTAGTTTTGATAATATCTTGTGTTAAATGTACTACATGTACATCTCTCAGGATTTTCTAAAAATGCTTTGGAATTATTGAAATTCGCAGCAAATATTTGATTGTTTTGAAATGAATTATAATTTTAAGCACTAAGCCGTTCTCATTACTTTTCTTCAGGAATATGAAGCATCATGTTGGATGACATTTAACCTGAGTAGTGACTCTGTTCTGATAATTATCTTGTCTTGTTTTTCACATGACATTTTAAACATACAGTGTACGTCACTTGAATTGTGACTTTATGATTGTCATGTCTATCTCTTATCACCTATCGCTTCGTTGCCATCTATTGTCAAAACCTTTAACCAACTAGCAAAATCTAGATTTGGTTTTCAATGGTACCCGGTACATGGATGAGAATTCTTTTACAGCACTACAGTTGTTGCGTTGTATGCATTCAAATTGTGGGTCAACAAACTTTTATATGTGTTGTATATGTAGCGTGCAGGGTGTTAGCCAGCCACAAGTCTACCCATGAAACAGACTGGTAACTTTGATTTTGGACTTGCATCTTTTTCCCATCTTTCTGTTTTTGACTCCCATGTGTGAAGCACAAAATGGGAGTCTTTGCAGTTAGTGTGTGTGTGTGTGTATGTGTGTATGTGTGTCCGACTGTTCCACTGCTATCTCAAGAACCATACATCGGTTTTTGGTGAAACTTGGTATATAGATGCTCTGGGCCAATGCGCAGATTTGATTAGGTTTTGGTAAAAATCCATGCTCGTTAATTACCTAATTTGCATGATAATTAGCTAATTTTTAGCTGTTCTATGACTGTTCCACTGATATCTAAAGAACCACTCATTGGATTTTGATGAAACTTGGTACATAGATGCTCTGAACATATGCGCAGATTTGATTAGTTTTTGGTAAAACTCTGTGCATATTAATTACCTAATTTGCATGATAATTAGCTATTTGTTAGTGGTTCCACTGATATCTAAACAATCACTCATTGGATTTTGATGAAACTTGGTACATAGATGCTCTGAACTAATGCTAGGTTTTGATTAGTTTTTGGTAATAATCCGTGGATACTAATTACCTAATTTGCATAATGATTAGTCAATTTTCGGTTTTTCCACTGATATCTCAAGTACTAATCATCACATTTCAATGAAACTTGGTACCTAGATGTCATACGACACTGCCAAGACCTGATAGTTTTTATGGTAATATCAGTACATATAATTACCTAATTTGATAATTAATTAATTTTCAGCTTTTGATACAAGTAGTGAGCATTACATTTCAATGAAACTTGGTACATACATACTCAAGGACTATGCAGAGATCGATTGTTTCGAATAAATATTTGAGCATATTAATCACCTAATTTGCATAATTAGTTAATTTTCAGCTTTTCCACGGGTATCGCAAGTAATAATCATCGCATTTCAATGATACTTGATACATAGATCCTT